CCGTGTGGTGACATTCATCCTACTGCCCTGAAGCAGCTCCTGGGGCAGATCCTGGGACTCAGTGCGAGCCCATTCAGACCTGCCTGGGAGGAGCAGGTGCACAGAGCAGCAACGTAAAGAAGGCAACTCCAGTTGGGTAGATTAAGGAGGGGGGCAGGTGTAGATAACACACACGGGCAGGATTGGGGACACGGGAGTGAGAGCTGAGTCAGTAAGTGTTTAGAGGGGGTTCTCAGGGTGGTGCGGGGCCCCAAAGAACCAAGAGCTAACAGGGAAGGCATGGGACAGAAGAAACTCCCGCAGGGGTAGGACTAGTCTGAAGAGATTGAAGGGACCATGATGTCCTGGGTGCTATGCTCAGAGTTCAGATTTGTCTTATAAATGGACATTTCCCAGAGTAGGTGATGATTTAGATGCTAATTTAGCAGAAGCTCCAAAGGAACTTTGCTCCAAAAAAGAAAGAAGGAACCTGAATCCTATGGTCATACATGTTGTGAATCTCAGATTAAAGCATTAAACTGAAGATTCCCCTGGAGAAGGGAGTGTGAATATCTCAGAAGGGACCTGGTCTGTAGCCTTTCCATATTTATCTCACCTTTGCCCCCACCCCCACTGTTGAGGAGCATCTCTCACAGCTGATGCTCCATGGATCCCACTGAGAATCTCTGATGAAGCTAAACGGGCGCCAGCATGCGGACACGGTGAGTGACAGCGGCCGAGATGTGCTGTGTTCTCCCCACGAGCCCTCCACCCCTTCTCGCTCTCCCACAGGGCAGCTCGTGGCCTACAGGCTCCTTTCCCTGAACCCCTATATGGTCACGGTAGCACAACTCATCCATGCACTGACTGTGAGCTGTTTAGGGTGGGCCCATCAGCCCCCAACCCAGATCCTCCCTGATGGTGGACTCATTCCTTCCACAAACAGTGCATGAGCTCCTACTGTGCACCAGCCCTGCTCCAGGGGCTCACACACATGCACGAGCGCACCCAGCAAACCCTCTGCCTTCCTCCTTGTGTTAGGAGGGAAAGGCCGTGCGTGGGAACCACAGTAGCTAAGGTGAGCAGGGCTCTGGATGAAAGAGCAGGGTGGGGGCTCAGCACCTGGGAGTGTGGTTTCCAGGTTACACCAGCAGGTCAGAACGGACTTCCTCAAGAAGGAGACTTCCGAGAAAAGACTGGAAGGAGGTGAGGCGTGACCGTGGACATCTGGGGGTCACTTTCCTGGCACAGGCGACAGCCCGTGGAATGGCCCTCAGGTGGGAGCCTGCCTGGCCTGTTCCAGGAGCAAGAGGTCAGTGTGGCCGGAGCATACGTGAGCCCAGGCAAGACAGGTAGGAGATGGAGATCAGAGCGGTGACAGGGAGCCCGATCCTGTCCATCCGGACCTAGAATCCCGGGATGCCAGAGCCAGAAGGGCCTCAGAGTTGGCCCCATAACCCACCCCCGAGAAGGGAGGCAGGAGCCCGGGTCACCGCTGGACAGGTGAGAAAACCAGGGGACAGGTGGGAGGCACACCCCGGGGCACCGGGATCGAACTTGGCTCCTGAACACCTTTCTCAGACCCGACTCTGGCCGGAGCAGAGCTGGCCTGGGCCTGGGGCAGGGCTGTGCTGTCCTCCCTTCAAGTGTCCAGGAAACACCTGCTCCCCATGGCCCAGAAGGCGGGGCTGGGAGACCTGGGTGCAGGCGGCTGTCGCTGCAGCTTCTTCCACCAGGGGGCGCTGTTCGCAGAGCTTTGCCCTCAGTCCCTGCACCTGCCAGGGTTGTGTCTCCTGGGCTTCCCTGGCCCAGTGCCCTGCCTGCAGCCCAGACCAGGGGCTCGGCCCTGCCCAGCCTCGCTGCCCGGGTCTTGGGATATATCCTTGGCCAGAGCCCCGGGAAGAGCCCTGAGGGCAGCCAGCCTGGTTTGCAGGGGCTGCGGGGGGCGAGGAGGAAGGGCAGAGGAGGGCGGCCTGGGCAGGTGCAATGTGCACAGTCACCGTGCTGTCTGCCACGCTCCCTGGGGCTGGCTCCTGCCTGTCCCTCTTGAGTTTGCTGCTGCGGGTCCCCAGGGGCTCCTGTGGAGCCAGGGAACTGGGCAGGGGGTGGGGGTGAGGGCAGAGCAGAGTAGGGAAGAGTGGCGGCGACAGGCAGCCCTCACCCCTCCAGAGCCACTGGGAAAGGCGGCCATGCCCCACCCCACTCCCAGGGTTTGTCTTCTCCGACAGCAAGAGCCCCAGGGAGGGGAAACTGAGGCACCAAAGGAATGCGCTGGCTGCCAGTTACCCTCCTGTCCTGCCCCTAATTCCTGGGTCGCTCAGGATGAGACCCGAGTGGAGGGTGCCCACCTACCCGCTCTGCTCTAGGGACACACTGGGGTTCCCATGAGGGTGGGGGAGGGTGCACACACCCTTTATGAACACTCTGGGCTCAGGCCACACCCGCTTGTTGCCCGGAGCCTGCTGGGAGGGTAAAGGCAGCTCACAGAGCACACCCCACTGCTGGACAGCCCAGGGCAGGGACAGACAGGACAGGGTGATGGGGCGGGGGTCAGCATGGGGTCCCATGGCCTCCGATGCTTCCTTCTCTCTCCTGCCCCAAACCCGACCTTGCTCTCTGGGCCTCTGAGGCCTCAGCCCCTAGATCTGAAGAGTAGAGGTCAGTGGGACTCCCCAGCTGACCAGAGAAAGAGGCCCTGAGCCTGAACTTTGGGTGGCTTGGTAGCTGGTTGAACCTAAGAATAAAGCATTTAACAGCCTGAATGTGCTTTGTGTCCAGACCATCCAGTTCTGGGGTCTACAGATTGCAGGGGTGGGGGTGGGGTGCCATCAGACTCCTCAGTGTGTCCTCTTCAAGCTCCTCCTGGATAAATGTCAGAAAGAATCCAGAAAATCCAAACGAAAATACTGTTGGAAATCCCAGGGTCAATGACCCAATGCACTCTTCTTGCAGAGGAGTCTTTCGCTCTGGGGGACAGGCCCACACAGACGAGAGGGTGGCAGGAGCCCGGGTCACCCCTGACAAGGACAGACACTGGCCAGCCCGGCAGGCGGCTCCCTGCACACTGAGCCGCACGGCCCTGTCTGTCCTGGCATCGCCTGCTCACACCCTAGAGAGCTCAGGGGTGGGGTCCAGTCTTCCTACAGCTGCCCTGGGGCTCAGCCCTGAGGTAGGGGACACTGGCCTGTAAGACAGGAGAGAGCCTGTCCCCTCCCTGTCACCGCACTCAGGACTCTCAACACCACAGACACAAGCGGGCTCATTTGACAGGCAAATAGGGTGAGCAGAATGGTCCGTTTGCATTCGTGCGCTGAGCTGTGAGGACGCCCATCTCTCGGGCTCGTGCGCCTGATTGTCTCTTCTCTGCGCGTCCGGTGCTCATGCCTTTGAGCGACGATGGTGGCTCGACTTCTCTCCCTGATGGGCGAGGGGGCCTGAGCTTTTATAAAGGTGCCCTCAGCGTCCACGTCCGTGCGGAGGGCAGAGGGGTGGGAGCACAGGAGAGCGTGTGATCTCTCTGCTGCCACGACCCCCTCCGGCCCCAAAGGGAGCCCTGTCCCAGTGCATCACATCATGGGGAAACTGTCAGTTAGGGAACAAGCACAAAATGGAACAACGCCCTTTTCCTTCTTTTCCTGGGACGCTTGGCCAGTGTCTCCTCGAGTGAGAAATGAGCAACACCACACGCAGGAGTGACCTGCGTCCCCGTGGCAGGCTCTGGCTGGAAAGCGTGCTGTTTCGCTCATCTCCAAGTAACACCTCGAGTTAGGGAATATTCTGTCCATTTGACGGGTGAAGGACACAGAGCTCAGAAAGGTGAAGCCAGCTTCTCAGCATATGCACAATTTGTCCAAAAGCTTCTGGCAGAAGCAGAACGAGACACCCAGTGGGTCTGACTGCAGAGTTCAGCCCCTCTCCGCACCATGAGGAGCTCTGGGGACAAGGGCGGGTCCAGGCCACCAAGTGGGAGCCTGGTTCACATGGGGCCACCTGCAGGGGACCCCCTTCCCCCACCAGAGCCTGGAAACAGCAGGAACCACACGGAAAGGTCACAGGCAGATAAGAAGGGAAGGTCCCCTTCCCCAGCCCCACCCCCTCCGCCGATGGTGCCACGGCTCAGCTGTCCCTCCTGCGGGGGCCACGGGAGGCTGTCCTGGCCCCTCACTCACTCACGCCCTCCTCAGCCTGGGAGCTGGGGACACAAGCAGCCTGGGGGGTGTGGAGGGGGTGCACACAGGGTCTGAGATTGTAGACACAGCTCCGGGGACAGAGCAGGACTCTGGAAAGTGAGACTCTGAGCTACTGATGATCTCAGCCTCGGCCCCCAGAGCAGGGCAAAGAACTGCCTTTCCTAAGAGAGGGTTGAGGGTGGTTTCCCCGTCCTGGGGAATTTGAGGGCATCCCCAACAGGGCCTAGTACCCTTTCTCTCCCTCAACCCTTCACAACTCTGGAGACATCAGGATGTTGGTACCAGCAAGCCCCTTGCTGCCCACCTGCCTCCTTCACACCTGCCTCCAGGGCCCCCAGCCACACCCACACCGGAGTGCCCCCCACCCAGGAGGAGGCGGACCTGGTGCATCAGGGTCTGGGAGGGGAACCAGCTACACCACAGGGAGTCCATAACTGTGGGACCCAGAACACAATGTCCCTCATGCTCCGCCCCTCCCCAGCCCTGTGCCAGAGTCTCTCCCTCTGTCCTCACCTCCTCACCCCTCCAGCCCTCTCCCCCCACCCGCCACCCCTGCCACAGGCCCTCCCTCAGCCCCACTGCACCCCTTTTCCCCCTTGGGTCCTCCATCCACTTTGCATCCCCCACCCCGCCCCTCCTCCCATTGAATCCTGGCCACGTGTACCGGTCTCTCCCAGCCTGAGCAGCTACAGGCATGCAGAATTGAAAAAGAAGGTTTTTTTCTGATAAGAATAATCCATGTTGATTATATAAAATTCATTAAACGTAGAAAATGAAAAGTCACTGTTATGACGCATCACAAAGCTAATCACCACCAGCTTTACTGAGGTCTCATTGACATGGGGCATAGGTAATTTAAGGGGTACAGCAGGTTGGTTTGATGTACGTGTCCCTGCTTGCATGATCCCCGCAGGAGCCCAGATAACAGCCCCAGCCCTCCGTGCTGGTCCTCACTTCTGGTGCGAGGACATCTGGCATCCACCCACAGATTCCGTCTAGAACACGGTCACGTGAGCTGTAGTCGGCAAGCCGAGCCTCTGCCCCGGACTTACCCCCTCGGAGCCCTGCAAGCGTGTGTCTTTGGCAGGCTCTCCCCACTCCCCGTCACCCCCAGCGCTGACAACCCCGCTCTACGCTGTTTCTAGGAGTCCAGCTTTTTTCGTTATTTGAATTCCAGTGAGTTAACATGCAGGGTGACACTGTTTCAGGCGTTCGATGCCGTGATTCCGCATGGCCAGGCAGCACCCGGTGCCCATCACGAGTGGCTCCAGCTTTTCTAGATTGCTCACCTAAGTGAGAACATGGAGGATTCGTTTTTCTCTGTCTGACTTCGTTCACCCAGCGTATGGCCCTCAGAGTCCAGCCATGTTGTCCCAAGGGGGCAGTTTCCTTCCTTCTATGGCCGGATAGTGCTCCAGGGGATGCATACGCCACATCTAGGTCTGCTGGCCCCTCGTGGACACCGAGGCGTTCCCACGTCTTGGCTCTTGTCACTCCTGCGGCAGTGAGCACGGGGAGGGGCAGACTCGCCCACGTCGTGATTCCAGTGCCCGCATCAACGCCCAGGCGCCGAATGTGGGGTCATGCGGTGGTTGTGTTTTCAGTGCCCGGAGGAAGCGCCGCACTGTTTTCCACGCTGGCTGCACCAGTTTGCGTTCCCGCCAACACTCTGTCCCTTGCCCTTTGGTAGCAGCCAGCCCGACAGACGCTGGTTTGGACTTGCGTTTCCCTGGTGATCAGCCATGTTGACATCTTCCATGTACCTGCCCACCGTCGGGTGTCTTCTTTTAAAAACCGTCTACTCGGGTCCTCTGCCCAAGCTTTAGGCAGTCCTGAGCATCCACGTTTAGCTCCTCTGTGTAGGTCCTTCTGACCATTTTAAAATAACGACGAGAAAAGGTACCTTTTTAGATAAAGTACTGGTCTCCAGTGTGTCGGTATGAGATGGTCCACTGCGGTATACAAAGAAAATACAAGAGTGTCTATTCGTATTTTCATCTTGATCAGGAAAAAACCCCGCTTTGAACATGCAATAGAATGTCCCTGGCTCTCGGGCTTGGTGTGTTTGTCAGACGGCCACGTGTGGGCGAACTGAGCCTCGAGGGCCCTGCCCCTCACTGGGTCAAGTCCAGACTCTTGCTGTTTGGGAGCATGGATGTCACTGAGCTGAGCGGGCCGAGTTGTTGAAAAGATCTCCTCCCAGCGTTCACAGACCGCAGACGGCACACACAAGACAAAGAACAAGAAAACCCTGAGCTGGCCCCTGTCCCGCGCCTGGCAGACTTCTGCATCTGCACAGGATGAGGCCTCACAGATGACCCGATTAAATCAGACAAGAAGCTGACCCCAGATTCCCGCGTGTTTAGGTCACCAGGGTGAGATCTCTCTGACTAGCCCCCCTCTGTGTTTCTAACAGACATGGAGGTTTGTTGTAAACTTTAAAGTAGAGGAATAACGTAAACCGTCTTAATTTCCCTAGCTTCTAGATGTCCCCGCCCTGAATTTTTTAAGTCAAACGTGCAAAGTAGTCAAGAAGGCCGTATGCACTCTGGCTTGGCCATACTGCTGGGTTAGGGCTCTCACTCTAAATGCCTTTGCAGCCTTGAGGGATGAGCTAATGTATGAAGTCGTCTCCAGCTGCAAGGTGTTACAATAGGGTTTCTTTCATGGACGTGGATATCTCGTAATTGCATAGGTTTTTTTATTTTATTTTATTTTATTTTTAAAGATTTTATTTATTTATTTGACAGAGAGAGACACAGCGAGAGCAGGAACACAAGCAGGGGGAGTGGGAGAGGGAGAAGCAGGCTTCCCGCTGAGCAGGGAGCCCGATGCGGGACTTGATCCCGGGGCTCCAGGATCATGACCTGAGCCGAAGGCAGACGCTTAACGACTGAGCCACCCAGGCGCCCCTCGTAATTGCATAGGTTTTAATGTTTGGCATCTGCTTTAAAATGTATGGGTCACAAATTAATAAATACTCTGTTGTGAGATTGCCTGCTTAAGGTCTTTTAACTTATTTTTTGTATCCGGCCATACAACCGATGGACCACTAACATAGACTTTCTTTGCCTCTCTACCTCCCAATGATTCTGAAGGTAAACATCCTGTTTTCAATTTTACTAGCACTTTCCTGTAAATAATAAAGAAGACTTTAAACCTACTTTGTCCCTAGTCAAGCCAGGAGCAGACAGCTATTTCCATTCCTAGTTCAGTGAGAATGGAGCACATTTGCTCTCTCTCCTACTTCTCAGTTTTTGTTTATATAATTTGGGGTTTTAAACACAACTTAAAAGTCTTGACTCTCAGTGACTCCATGTCTCCTTTTCCAGGAATTTAGAAATATTTGAATTACGTGCTGCTCCTCTGGCAGCGTAGGAGGAATGTGCTCAAGCAGAGCCCAGCTCAAGTTCTGCTATGAGAAAGAGGTTGAGGGTCAGGGTCTTGCCGACGGAGATGGGGCTCGGATCAGGAAAACCTCAGGAAAGGGGAAGCTAGGGACCTTTAGACCGCCTACATTATTCCTCTATTTTAAGACAAGGTTCCCACCAATATCTGTGTCCGTGAGGAATACAGAAGTCCCCCTTTCTCCCCAGGAGACACGCTCCTAGACCCCCAGTGACGCCTGAAAGCACAGAGAGTACCGAACCCTATAGACACTATGTGTTTTCCTGTACACACAGACCTGTGATAACGATTAATTTACAGATTAGGCACAGTTCAAGATTAACAATAGTACTAATAAAAATAGAACAGTCCTAACAATGTGCTGTATAAAAGCTATGTGGATGTGGTCTCTCTCTCAAAATATCTTCCTGTTCTGCACCCACCCTCCTCCTTCATATGAGGATGTGAGGTGATAAAATGTCCGTGTGATGAGGGATGCGAGGGCAGGGCTGTCGGCACTGAGACGTAGCATTAGGCTACTCCTGACCCTCTGAGCGTGCGTCAGGAGGAGGATCATCTACTTCCTGACTGTGGTTGACCACGGAACATGAAACCACGAACAGCAGTGGCTCCTGTATACTGGCTGCCGGTGACAGATGCAATCATGGTGACCTAGACAAACCATGGGCTTGTTTTTCTCTTGTGTTCAGGACAAATCTGCAGGCAAACAGTTCAGGGTAGGAATGATAACTCTATGAGGCATTGAGGCCCCGGGCTTCTTGTATTTTTCTGTTCCTTAGTGTGTGGCGTCCATCCTCAAGGTCACAAAGTGGCTGCTGTGACTCTAGCCATCAGGTCCAGACGCCACAAAGGAGAAAAGAGGGGAAGGGTGAGAGGGCTTTCCTCAAGTTCCATCCGATGAATTCTTGCTTGTATTTCAGTAGCCCTCCTTGTCCTACAAAGGTCTGGGACATGTCACTTTCATAACTGACATAATTACCACCAAATACGTAGTTAGAAATGGAAAGACTAGACAGCAGAAAGGCCATTAGCAGTTCCAGCCATAGCATCCGCAAACATGTCTCTTAGAGCATCGATGAGGCTTTGCTCCTGCTGCAATATATTCCAGCAGGTAGAATTTCAAGCTCAAAGGGCACAGTACGTTTACGACATCATACACTGTCCCTCGTTCCGACACTGTCACACCCACCAACGGTGTAGGCGAGTCCCCATTTTCCACAGCCTCGCCGGGGCTGGACCTCATTCTCCTGATTGTCAGGTTGAGAGATGAAGATGGCATTGGTTTCACTTCTTATTTTCCCGATCACTGCTAAGGAAAATCTGTGTCCTGAGATGGCCGACCGAGCCAGCGAGCGAGTCCAGCCCCTGCCCCGGGGCTCTTCCGGGTTCTTCTCCCTGCCCCGCTTCGCGCACGTGCCTAAAGTGCCAAGTAGGCAGAAGTAGAAGTGTATAAATTGCCCCCTTTGTGCTCGGGGCTCAGACCTTTGGAGACCACTCTCCTCTGAGCCCGCCGGCGTTCAATACACCTCCTGTCCTCCAAGAGCTCCGGGTGCCGCTTCGTTCTTCCGTCGGGCGATCCAGCCCAGGTTCCATAACATCACTAGTGAACTCGAGCATCTTCTTACAGGTCAGCTTGTTGGCTTTGAGGAAAAGGAATTTGTCCAGGGAAAAGACTCTTCCATTCTCTCCGATCCCTGCCGTCCCTCACCCCCATCCGAACGGTCCACACTGGACTTGGCTTGCGGAGAGTATTCAGAACCGGAGACGAGTGAGACGCTGAGTGAGCCGAAGCAGACAGCTCCTGTGACATGGAGTCTGAGGGACAAATCGAGTTTTCTTCCGGACAGAGTACAATTCAAACCAAGAAAGTCCAAGGGGGTTGCTTGCTAGTCACGAGGGCTGCGGGAGGAGAGAGACAGAGAAGCGGTTGTTCAGAATGTTCTGGGAAGTCGCCACTTCAATTTCCGTACAGCGTTCTCGGTGAGGGGCCCTGTCTGGGCTCGTGTCGCAGGGGGAGGGGTGGCCATGGCTCAGAGGAGGAGGACCATCAGCGCAGTCCCCGCTGAAGGCGAGGCTGATTCCTGCTGCGGCTGACTCACCCAGCCTGAACGGGGAGACGCCTTCTGGGCGCCCACCCGACATAAAACCCCATGCACCACCGATGGATGACACACTTGTCACTGAAAACCCAGCGACCCGGAGTTCATCTGCTCCAGCAGCTCTTGGAATGCAATCCGTATGGAACCAGATGGGAACGTCATTAAACGCGGCCTGAATCTCACTTTCACAGCCCCGTGATGAACACGCCAACCTCAGGCTTCAGTAACACCTGAGGTCTGCGTCCTCCTAGTTCCCTCCTTGCCTTCTCCATTAGGAACCCCGACAGGGTTTCAGATCTGGCCCCTTGGCATCCCTCCAGAATGCTCCACTTGAGTGAATCGCCTGGCTAGCCGGTGACTCCATCCGGCATCTGGAGGCTTCCCTAAGGGGGCTGCCCGCGCAGCCTGACCACCTGTTCGGCACCCCTCACTGTGCACCTCCTAACCAAGACATTCTCTCCCAACGAGTGACCTCCCTCAAAGGGGAGTCCAGGCTCTCCGCTCCGAATGCTCGTCCCGTATCCTCCTCTGGCCGGTCTGCCTCCTCAACCTCTGGAATCTTGGTGAATAACATCTTCTGTGTCTCATCACATCTTCTTGGAGGAGTCCTTGTAGCTCCCTGCACAATCTGTCCCCCGAGGTGGGAAAGGAGAAGACAAACCACAACAGTCAGTTGTGATACAGGCTGCCCTGTCCTGTGGGATCTCACACTCTGTCCTTTTTCTAATAGTGGGGGTACAACTCTTCTCTGGGGCACTTGCAACCGTCCCGTCCCTGTAGCTTTGTGGTCCCTTAAGGCTCTGGCCCTCTCCTCACGGGCACCAGTTCACCAAACACGGGTTTACCTGTCCCGCCCAGCAGGCACGTGCAGTGACCCACTGGACCCTCTGGAAAGAGGCTCCTGCCTCCCTCTCATCCTCCTACCCGGCTCCTCCCTGCCTGGTCCCTCTCCCGCCTGCCCCAGGGGCTGCTGGCTGCTCCCAGGGCTGGAGAGTTGACCCAGACATCCTGTTCATGGCTCTCCTTCCTGGAATGCCGCACCCACCCCGAATATCGGGGAATCTCCTACTCCTCCCTCGAGACAAGGTTTCCCCATTAGTATGCCAATACTAAGAATATTCTTAGTAAATACTGCATTGCCTAGAAAGGGTTACAGAGGCATCGAAGCCAGAATGCGCAGCCGGAGGTGCTGGGGTTCGAGCGGGGACGTGTGTTGCTCTTGTTGGATCAAATCTGGCCACATTTGGGCTTTAGAGCTGGTCTGCTCACACGGCCTGCCTGCCGCAGGTCAGAGCCCACCCTGGTATCACTCCCTGCCCACTGGAAGAGAGCATCCTTTTCTAGGCGTCCTTCCTCTTTCAAGGGAGCAGAAAAGTTTATCTACTAAGGTCTTTTACCTCTCCGTCTAAAACTACTCATCACTCTGACACCCCCTCATGTCCTGGCTTTCATTCCTGGATTCCCTAGGGTGGGGTTTGCTGATGGAGCCGGTTCTAACAATACCCTTTCTTGCCTTACCTTGAAACAAGCCAGTAGGACTTTCTGCTTCCCAGGATCCAGGCAGCACTTTGGTTTGCCTGAATCTATACCACATATAGCAGGACGGCTAGGTACTAAGGGCAGGTGCTCATAACTGTGACAATTCCTTGTCCCATCCCACATGCATGAGGATTAATTAGTGGCCATTGCATGTGACAGTGCTCCCTACACATCTAGGCTGAGGCCCCTTCCATGGTGGAGGTGGACGCTCTTTGCCCCCAACCCGGAGGGCGGCTTTGCACAAATCTAGCTTTAGGGGCTCAACATCCCTGCTTTGCCTCCCAGTCCTTGATCCTGACTGATGTCCCCCACCCAACACAGTCGCTGGTGAATTGCCACCATCCCTGCTTCCTCCTCAAACGTGCTGCATGGAGAACAGTAATTTGGAGGCCCATCTGGTGAAGCCGAGGCCTCCCCTGTGAGACTTCCTTGAGGATTCTCCCACACTGCTATGCAACTTTCTGTCACTCTCTAGTAAATACATCTCTCCAATCCCAACACGTCTGCGGAGCCCTCTCCCTCCCTGTGGCTGATGTGTGCTCAGAAGCCTCACATGCAGGTCTCAGCGAACCAAACAGCTGTGGGAATCCCACCAGGCATGGACTTCACAGAGAAAGAGGCATCGGCAGCTTTAAACCCAGACCTGGTCTCTAATAGCGGACTTTGCAGACCTTCTCTACCTGTCCCTTGTCTGCCTCCAAACCACACTGTGGCCTGCTTTTGGGTGTTGGTCCTGCACTTCTGCAAAGTCTGCTGCTCCCGGGAGCCCGTGTCCTCCAGCAGGAAGCGGGGCCAGACCCGGCCTGGTGGCGGGTCCCCTGGCAGCAGCAGGCAGGCTTCAGGAGACTCTGTGCATCGAGTGGAGCAGGGAGGAGGCCACCCTCAGCCTGGGTTGGCCACAGGCCTCCTTTCTCTCCCAGGAAGGTTTCTGATTTCTCAAGGACCTGTGGCTCCATCGGATTAACACCAATGTCCAGCTCACAGCTTCATGAGTGGCTTTTTGGAATGTACTTGTTCAAGTATGCTCACAGGACAAGATTTCCAGGTAGGAGAGTTGAACCTGTTTTACTTAGCACTTAACCACATGTAGACATATGCTGTGTGGATCTCCGTTTGTCTTCTCCGCCTGTCTCCATCAGGGTTAGAGGTGGTCTTGGTAGCAGGACCAGGTGCATCGGGATGGTAAGGGGCCTGCTCATGCAACTTAGTTGTGTCCCCAGGTCCTGCTGGAGCCTATGTTTGTATATAACTTCCACCTGATAATGGAAGGTAACTAGACATGACTGATGGTATGATTTCATGGACCAGAAAATGCATGGCTGAAGACAGTCGGCAGGGGAACATGGTCATTCGGTATGTCCCATGCTCTGCTACTAAGTGTCTACTAGAGTCCAGTGTCAAGTCTATTCTATATGGGATAAGAGTTACTTTCCAAAGAAGATGTGCTTAGTATCAGAGGCTCTATCAGGCCCCTATGAGCAATTAAATACCACTTCAACACCTGTGGGGCTCCAGGACCATAAGAATCAAGAGCAGAGCTACTTACATTGTAACCTGCACCAGCTAGGAGTCTTCTTTGGCTCTTCCAAGCTGGTTGTTGAGTGGATTACTGGTAAATATAGTGATATAGCACACCCAGTGGTCATAAATCTGGCTCCAGAAACACAAACATGCTTAGGAAGCATGGTGTCTCTTTCCTCATGACCGAGCATACAGGAGAGACTAAATTGTTTTTAAATTTGAAGGAATATGTTGTTGTTTCCCCAAATGATTGGACTCCCTATGAACTAGACTATGATGTCAGGACCCTTGATTTTCTTGGGATTTATAATCCATTTCTGGTGCTTCTCTGTGTGCGGGGACATCTGGTGTACCTGCTACTTCCTTCTCACTTGGTCCCATTGACGTGATGGAATCCCTGATGGGAGATCAGCATGAGGGCAGACGGAGTGAGACATGATCCTAGCAGCTATGACCACAGCACAGCTGAGTTCCCATGGCTGGATGCACACTGAGCGAGTCTGACACAGGAGACCCTGGAGCTTCTCTTGGCAGAACCACGTGGGCAGCTCTGAGTAGGTCATCTGCAGGGACAAAGACATTACTTCACATGGTCTGATGTGGGGGCTTGGGTGGGTTCGGCTAGCAGCCTAGATGTGGGACAGATAATTTCTGAGCAAATGTTTCTCATCTCCCACCAACAATTACTGAACAGCTACCGAGAAGCAGCTCTGTCCGAGTCACAGGTGATGGGGCAGAGAACAAGGTGAAGCTTCTGCCCTCAGGCTGCCTGCAGACTAGTGAGGGAGAAAATACACTGAAACTAAGGACGCCCGTGAGCACGAACTGCATTTGTGAGCAGCACAGGGAGCAGCTGAGAACGGGAAGCAAGAAGAGGAGAGACCGTTCCTTTCACAAGCTCTATCTGCTCACTTTTGCCAAAGAAATCAGGAAAGCAGGAACTCTACAGTCTTGGAGAGTCTCCCCTGGAAGACAGTCGACCAGGACCCAGGGTCTGGTCTATCCCACTAATGGCCCCGAATGTGGAAATTTGGATGGCAGCGAGATGGCAGAGAGACTAGAGGGGCTAGACACACCTGGGTCCCTCTCCACTCCAGCTGGATGGGGATGCAGTAGAAGGAACGAGATCCACTCAGAGATTTATGGACATCTCCGGTCCCATCCACCTGGATTTTGTCTTCTGCATCATGGAGCCACTCAGTTTCCCTTCCCACAACCCTCTAACGTGGACAGTTGGGGCTGGATCACTCGGAGACCACGTGTCCAGTGCCTTCTCAGGGACTTGGCAACTCCAGTGTCCCCTACCTCTGGCTGTGCGGCAAATGAAGAGCCATGCTGCAGCTGGACCACGGCCACTGGGCACATGCGTGTCAGTGTCTATCAACCTTTCTCTCCTTTCCAGCCGGCCTTTTACTGTTGTAAACAGCATTTTCTTCAGAAACTTCTACAAGGAAAATCTGCTCTGATGAGCAGCACTGATTTCATGTGTTACCTTCTTGTCCCGAGAACCTCAGCAGGGGCTGGAAGGACAAGACCTGTCCAGGCATCACTGCTCAGTTCCTTCCCCACATTTGTCCACCCTCTTTATCCAGGTCTGGGTGTGATGTTCATGCACCTGCTGAGGTCCCCTTGGGACAGAAGGTCCCCTGTGAGTTCCCTCAGGCTGGTGGACCCCTGTGACAACAAGGGAAGTATGACACTCACTGGGACTGTCAGTGAGACTGGGAGAATATGTAGGAAGAAAAGAGGGTGAGTGAGAAGACCTCAGGAAAATTAGCTGATGGCAAAACCAAAGCCCAGTGTAGAGAGCAGAGTGATGGGATTTGTGTGGGGTCGTTCAGTGTGTGTGCTCGGATGGGGTAGGAACAGGAAGAGGCAGAGGAAGGTCAATGAGCACCTCAGATGGGAGAGCAGATAGGCAAGTGGACACAGGACTGAAGGGCCCAGGTCACTCTGGAACCACAGTTCCCAGTCTGGCCTGATAGAGCTGGGTTAGCAGGAAAAAGATAGGAAAAGATGTGCTGTGGATAGTACTCAGGATTCTCCAGGAAAGCAGAATTATAGGATGCTTATAAATCCAGAGAGATGTACTGTAAAGAATGGCTCACATTATTATAGAGCCTGGTGAGTCTAGAGCCTGCAGGGCGGGTGAGCCAGGCTGAGAAGCAGGGAAGATCTGCTGCTGGGTTTCAAGTCCAGGGTCGTCAGGAGGAGACACAAGGAAGAGTCAGTGCTATAGTTCTAGTCCAATGGCCATCTGCTGTAGAATTCTTTCTTGCTCAGGGGAGGTCAGTCGTTGCTCCTGCTCAGCCTTCAACTGATTGGAGGGGCCCACCCACATTGTGGAGGGCAGTCTGCTTTACTCAAAGTTCATCCATTTAAGTGTATCTCATCCAAAGTCTCCTCCTAGAAACATCCAGAATAATACTTGACCACAACTCTTGGCACTGCGGCCCAGCCAAATTGATTCATGAAATGAATGATGACACCACACAAACACTAATTCAAAGACAGCTCGAAGGTTCAGTTAACATGAGAGAGAGCAGACTTCAGAGCAAGGAGAATTTCCAGGGATGAAAAATAGTACAGAATAACGAAAGGTCAACTCAGCAGGAAACGAGAAGTATCTTAGGTTTGTGTGCACCTAACAGCAGAGCACCAAACACATGAAGCAGAAACTGACAGGATAGAAATATGAATAATAATAATGAATCCAGTGTCCCAGTCAGAGAGCAGAGCGGAGCTAGCGGATGGAAAATCAGCAAGAATACAGACAATAAACACCACCATGAGCCCATTCCACCTCATTGATATTTAGAGAACATTCAACCCCAACAGCAGACTACACATTCCTTTCAAGTGCACATGGGAACCTCCCCAAGATTACATCCTGTCCTGGGTCATAACACAAAGCTTGACAATGTTAAAGATTTAAAATAATGTATTTCTCTGACCATAGTAGAATTAGAGTAGCATTTTAAAAAATATTTTATTTATTTATTAGAGAGAGAGAGAGAGAGAGAGCATGAGCATTGGGGAGGGGGAAGCAGAGAACTGCTGAGCAGGGAGTCTGACCCAAAGCTCGATCCCAGGACCCTGGGATCACGACCTCAGCCGAAGGCCAATGTTGAACCCACTGAGCCACCCAGATGCCCCTGGAGTAGAATTTATAAACAGAAAAATAACAGGAAAATTTGCAAACATGCAGAAATTAAACATCCACTCCTTAATAACCCATGAGTTAAAGAGGAAATCTTGAGGGAAATTTTAAATATTTGAAGTGAATGGTAATGAAAAACACAAGATATCAAAATGTGTGACAAGAAGCTAACCCAGGGCTTATATGGTAATATATATAATGAGAAGCAGATATTACAAAAGAAGAAATGCTCAAATTAATAATTTAAGCATTTACCTCATGAATCTAGAAAAGTAAGAGCAAAATAAACCCAGAGCAAGTGGAAAAAGGATATAGGAAAGACAAGAGCAGAGATAATGAAACTGATAAATCTAATAAAGCATATTTAAAAAATTCCCTACCGTTAATAGCACACTTCGTGGTGAAAAACTAGCTTTTCCCTTAATATTGGGAAGGAGGCAAGGCTGTTTGTTCTCAGCACTGCTATTCCACATTCTCCTGGAAGTCTGGTCAGTGCAATAAGACAAGAAAAGGAAATAATATATAGATTGAAAAGGAGAAAGAAATCATCTGTGTTTGTTATAGACATTGTTTATATGTTTGTGTGCACAGAAAATCTCAAGGAATCCACACAAAATTCCTAGGACTAGTGAGTTCACCAAGACTGCAGGATATAAGGCCAACAGGGAGGGAAGGCCCCCGTCATTACACTCGTTAGGACTTGAACACAGATTTAGAAGTTTGTGCTGCGGGTCGTGGGGAGAACCCTGAGGCTCTTGAGTGGTCTGCAGACATGGAGAGGCATCTAGTCCAGCTCCACAGAAAGGGTGAGAGGGTGGGACAGGGCATGGGAGCCAGGGAGCCCCGTGAGGCTCTGTGGGGGGTACCGTGGGCTCGTGTTCTCACCTCCAGCCCTCACCCCCCACTGTCCGGTCTAGACTGAGAATAGGAATCATGTCAAACATCTGTCACCGACCGTGTGCAGTGTGACTAATGCCAACAACACCCACCACCTGCTGGAGTTACCGCATCCCAGTGTCCGGGAAATGGTTTTTCCCTGCTGCCCACCCACCAGCAAGGGTGAGCTGTAGGGACCCTGGAGGGAAAGGAGCTGAGCTCGGAAATGGACTGCACGATTCAGAGACACGGCCCTGCTCTGCCAGCTGTCCAGACGATGACAGTGTTCTCAGACACTTAGAGTCCTCCTTCATATTGTGATCTGCATGTTTGTGGGACAGACCTAGTTCTGACCCGCACATAGCTGCCTGGCTGGAGGCTGGTGCGTGTGTGTGTGTGTGCGTGTGCGTGTGTGTTACCGTGCAGACGCTGAGGTTTTAGGGATGATAAGCTTCTCTGCTTTCCTCTGATCTCAGGGGATCGACCCGTTTCCACTGGAGCTGGAGAGGAAGGGACAATTGAGACCCACTTTTGTCTTGCTTGAATTACTAATTAGGGCAAACCGCAGGCTGCTTCGTCACCTGGGGGAATGGCGGTAGAGCATGGAAGGAGAGAAAATGTGTCCCATACCGAGAGGTGACCCTATAGTATTTTTCTTGGGCTCAGGTGAACTGCTCCCACCTCTCCTACAAACAACATGTGCACATTTATTGTCTGATTACAGGAAATTGCTTCTGTTTTCCTTCCTGTGGGAGAGGAGTTCCTGCTCTTTCTCACCAGGTCCTGGTATTACAGAAAGGGAAGTAGGGTCTGTGACCGCAGGAGGAGAGGGTGGAGGAGGGCACAGGGGCAGGGATGTGGCCGATGGGGCTGGAGGGCAGGGGTGGGGCTGAGCAGAGGGCGTGGGGCGGGGAGGCAGCCCTGGGCATCAGCGGTGTGAGTGGTCACTGAATTCCTGGAGCAGGGGCCCCAGAGAGAGAAAGACACTAGGAGATGGGAAGGGTCCTGCCCAGACCCTCGGAAGTGCCACCGTGTGAATGAAGAGAAGCCCTGGAGGGACGGCTGAGGAGTCTGGGAGGGTGGCAGGTGGGCCAGGGGGTCCAGGAGAGTGGCCGTCAGGGACCCGAGGGCAGAGGGCGTTGGCGAAGGAAAGGGGCATCAATGGTGTCACGTGGGGGCCACCTCCTGGCTCTCTAGGGGTCCCCATAAGGTGAGGTCAAGGTGGGGGCTCAGGTATGGAGCAGGGGCAGCACGGAGACAAGCTGAGGGCTGCAGGGAAGGAGCCAGCAGGGTCACGGGGACGAGCCAGAGACAGGAATGCAGGAGAGGACAGGTCCCCAGGGAAGGGCCTTGAAGTGCAGGGAAAAGTCCTCACTGAGCCCAGAGGAGCTCAGCGTCCTCCATGGGGACAGGAGAGAGGGACACAGGTGTCTACCAATGCAGTCAGTTAACACTAACTGTCAGGAACTAGAACTTCTGCTTTTTCCTGAGCAACAGGAGGCTGGGCCATTGGCCAACAGGACAGGACAGAAGGAGGTTTGCCACTACAGGGGACAGCCGAGGGCTGGAGAGACGGGCCCTGGAGCACGTTCCCTGGGCTGAGTCCTGACTCCGGGGCTCCCGGCTGTGCAGCCTGGAGAGTCAGCCTTTCTGGCTCCTTCTACTGATCTGTAAAGTGGGCACAACGATCCCCACCTCACAGACAGTCCACGAGGACCCGGTGCGTTAGGAGCGGGCAGAATGGTCAGAGAGTGCGTGTCACCGGGCCAGCACTCAGCCAGCGCTGACGATTACGGATTCACGTCGTCTGTGAACAGCTCTCAGCACATGACTGATGCTGGCTGGTGTCCAAGATTGGTTGAGGCAGGATATTGGGTCTCACGGGGAACTTGTGCAGAACAATTTAGCATAGAAATAGCTGATAGTTGGATCCACGCAGTCCCTGCTCAGAGCAGTGAGAGGGGGAAAAGGCAGGACCAGAGCTTCGGGCATCAGGTTCACAAGACAGATGTCCCCGGAGGGCGGGATTCTCCTGCTTCCTCTGGTTAAATCATGCTCATGGCCTGGCCTTGCCTGCGGACCTCACTGTAGACGGTAGTGAGAGAGGTCTCCTCTTCTAGATGTGGTGCACCCCTACCCTGGAATGCAGACAGAGGGTTCCTGAGGGACACAGACAGCCCAGAGGGACCCACACAGACCCAGTGCTGCTGACAAGACCTGCCCCAGCGCCCAGCACTGCATGGATCCCAGGAGAATTTTCTTAGTTAATACTGCCTTGTCTGGAAAGGGTTACGGAGGCATCGAGGCCAGAACGTGTAGATGACTGGGATTGACAGGCACACACCCAGGCACAGAGGGACTTGGGAGAACCCAGGCTGCCTCATCTCCCAGCCTCACCTTGTCCCTGTTGTCTCCAGCCTCCTGCTGGCTCAGCTCTGCATAGTGGATGCCACCATCCGGGTCCCCGTGCTCCTTCTGCGATCCTGCACCTGAGTCATACACAGATGGAGCTTGAGTCTGAGCCTGGCCACCTGGACCCTCCCCGACTCTATGACCCCCACGGCCAAGGCCACACCAGCCGCCACCTACAGGGACATGCCCTGAGCTGCAAAATGCAGGAGAAAGGGTGTCCAGGGTCCAGTGGGGGAGGGAAAGTGCAACCTGCCTCTCCCAGGCTTCAAGTTCTTCTTCCCACGTCTCTTCCAAAGATATAGTCCAGCTCCGAGGATCAGCAGCACGGCCACAATGGCCCCCAGGATGCCTCCCAGGAGGGCAGTGCCAGCCTGTCCTGGTTGAAGAAGGACAGAGTGAAGAAGGTTAAGACACAGAGAACTGAAGTGGGGACAGGAGAGAGAGGGACACAGGTGTCTACCAATGCAGTCAGTTAATGCTGTCAGGAACTAGAACTTCTGCTTGAAGTGAAGAGTGAAGAAGGTTAAGACACAGAGAACTGAGGACGCCCATTGCCAGGCACATGGAGACGTCTGAAGGGACCTGGTCAGAAGCCGCAGAGGGAGGAGCATGGCAGGTGCTTTCACTCAGCCAGTTCCTGAGCTCCTGCCTGGGACCGAGGTGCTGAGAGGAACAGGACATGGTGCCCACCCTTGAGGAGCTCCTCAGCGGGGGAAGGGCTGAGAACATGCCAGAGGCAGCCAGCCAGAGCCATGCCAGGGCACGAGAGCTTTACAGCTTGTACCCAGGTCCTCAGGGAGGGCCTCCTGGAGGAGGTGATGGGGAAACCTTGTCTCGAGGGAGGAGTAGGAGTTCCCCGATATTCAGGGTGGGTGCGGCATTCCAGGAAGGAGAGCCATGAACAGGATGTCTGGGTCAACTCTCCAGCCCTGGGAGCAGCCAGCAGCCCCTGGGGCAGGTGGGAGAGGGACCAGGCAGGGAGGAGTCCGGTAGGAGGATGAGACGGAGGCAGGAGCCTCTTTCCAGAGGGTCCAGTGGGTCACTGAGCCATGAGCTTCCTCTGGCATCAGGGATGCTGAGGTAGCAGGTCCAGCTGCCTCCTCTCCCAGCCTCACCTTGTCCCCCAGCAGCTGGAGGAGGGGGTGGAGGGGTGAGGGGGCACAGGGGGAACCAGGTCATTCATTCATTCATACATTCAGGGACACAGTGACTGTGAGCAAACTGCCCGAGGCCGAGGGTGGGACAGACATTCAAAGTAGAAGCAGACATGACCCCTGCCCTCCAGAGGTTCAGGCTACAGAGGAGACTGATTCTGGGCCAGAGCATCAGCTCTCAGTGTGGGGTCACTGACTGCTCCTTAGAGGAGACGAGGTGTGAGGGCAGGACAGCAGCAGCTCCTGCAGGGCCCTGAGCCATCCAGGCTGAGGAGCCCCTGTGCAAACTCTCTTCATGCTGGAACTGCACCCAGCACGTGGCCCTGTGGGACTGCTTGGATCACAGGGTCCCCGAGCCAGCTACAGGGAAGGGGTCCCTGGACAGGAAGAAGTGGGGGAGTGGAGGACTCCTGATTTGGAAGGGCCGAGGGCAGAGGGAGGGGCCTGAGCCGAGGCTGGAAGCTGAGGACAGCAGGACCCAGCCAGGAATGCAGGCAAGCAGGTGGGTGTGAAGTGTGTCCGTGAGACCAGAAACGGGCAGAGGAACCCCGAGCCCTGAATCCTGATTCACTGGCTCAGACCCCTCAGATGGCACAGACCACTGACACCCCCAACTCGCTTCTCCTGAAAACCACCCTGGACACACAGGGAATGATGGATGAGGGTGGGGAAAGGTACCTGCTGGGTGCTGCCTGGACCAGCAGGGGTGAGAGGTAGGGAGGAAGGGGAGGGACACTGAGAAAGGCAGGAGCATGTTGGATGTGCCTGCCAGAGTCCTGGAGTGTGACCAGGTAGCAGGTGGTGACATAAACGTGGAAGACAGAGGCCGGGAACCCTCACCCAGGGCTGCCTGAGCTCCCGGAGAGCCCCTCCCCTCTGGCAGGATGCACTCACCGTGGACACAAATGTTCCCAAGGCCCCGGGTGGCAGTTTTCTGGTCCACCTGGTTGCTGACCACACAGGTGAGGCTGGAGCTGGGCTGGCTCAGGGACAGGTTCACAGCCAGGGTCCAGGGGTTGGGGGCTGGTCCTGGGGAAGGTCTCTGCTCCAGCTCCTTGGGGAGACCCTCGCTCTCCCAGGACACGATCAGGTCCTCCCTGGTTCCCGTGGTGTCACACTCCACAGTGACGTTGCACCAGCCTGGTGTGAGGGACAGAACCGTGGCCCGGATCTGGGGAAGAGGCGCGGGCTCTGGGGTGGGAGGGACAAGAGGACAGAGCTGCACGTGAGTGGAGAACATCCCAGCTCATGCTTTCTCCTGCGGTATCTCCCTGAAGCTCTGGCTTCCTCCCCCTAAGGATGGTGATTGCATTTTACAGATAACACAACACTGACCCAAAAACATAGCAAGTGCCAATAAGGAAGGGAGCCACTGAGTTCAGCTCTATGTGATTTCACTAGACTAAACAGGTCTTAAAAATCTCCCTTGATAAAATAAATGCTAGATCCACCTACCGAAACCCATTAATTCTAAGACAGTGCAGTGTCACCTAGAAGAAGGGAAAGTTGTAAAAGATTTTCCTGGTCCAGACCCTGGCCCTGCTTCTCCTGCTCGAATGGTGCCCAGGACTGCACAGTCCCTGGTGCATTAGGCCACTGGACAGCTCTGGGAGCCCAGAAACAGCCCCAGACTCCCACCAGGAGAGACCGTGGTGGGGGACACAGTGGTGGTTCCTAGAAATGGCCTCCTTGAGTGTGGTCACATCATGCCCTGAACTTGGGTCCACCCAGAAAGACAAGGGACAGGGTGACTTCAGTCTTGGGAATCTCCCGGACCTGAGGCTGCAAAGGCCACTCTCTCGCGAGCAGGACGTCTCCCTGTGCAGAGGAGGGGGTGGGTGCAGGGAGAGAGAGCTGCTCACTGAGTGTCTGAGGAAGGGTTGTGTGTGACCTTCTCCTACATCTGTGGAGGTTCAGAGCTGGACCTGTGGAGTCTGAGAGTGAGCTGGCCTCGGGCTGGAGCTGAGAAGGACAAGGGGACGGGGCGGTGAGAACCACACGCGGGATTCCAGATCCTGCTAGGATGTCCTAGCAGTGTCCCCCAACCATGGCCACGTGCCGACCCTCAGAACCTGCAGGTGTCTTAGGTTCCATGGCAAAGGGAAAATGAGGCTGCGAACCAGCTGACCCTAAACGAGAGCTGGTCTGGAATCCCGGACAGGCCCTATGTAATCACAGGGTCCTCTCAAGTGGAAGGAGGCAGGAGAGGAGGTGGGAGGATGCAGCATCAGAGGGGCTCATCCCACCAGTGCCGGCTGTGAAGGGGGAGGAAGGGGCCACGAGCCAGGGGATGCGGGCGCCACTAGAAGGGGGGACGGGAACAGAAATGGATTCTCCCCGGGCCTCCAGAGAGGAGCACAGCCCTGCCGACACCTGGACCTCATGGCAGAGGCTCTGGGGTCTGACTCCTGCTCCACAGCCCAGGAGGACGCGCAGGTGGTGGTGTGGTCAGCCATGAGGGTCAGTCACCAGCCACAGCAGCACTGGACAGCTAATAGTCACACTGAGTGCCCTGAGTCCCGTGGGCACAGTGAGTGTTATGGCAAAATCCCCATCTCCCCCCATTCCCTGTTCCACTCCTGAAGCACCAAAGTGACTTATCCCTCGTGTGAGTCTCCGCTCTGCCTGCATTTGTGATGGACACACGGCATCCAATTTGAGCGGAGAAGATCATGTCTGAAGGCTGGGGTTGGGAAGGAATCCTGCAAGCGGGGTGCGTGGACACTCCCAGGGACAGAGGAAGGAGGTCAGCTATGGGACTGGGGGAGGGGCCGCCACGTACCGTAGACCCTCAGGTGGAAATCCTGGTCATGCTGTCTTCCTCTCCTGTAGGACTCTCGAGCTCGGTACCGCCCACTGTCCTCAAGGGTCAGGTTATCAATCCTCAGGGTCGTTACGTTGAGCACATGGACCCTCTTCTCGAACTTGTCCTGCAAGTTGACCCATTCTGGAACATCTGTCCCAGGAAACACGTGCAGCATGGCTATGTAGTTTGACCCGGATACAATGCCCCATGAAATCTTCTCCAGCTCGACCTCTGGAAGTAATTCTGGACTTCTGATCACATGAAACCACACAGAAGCTCCTTGAGTCCCCTTCACAGAAACAGGGATTCCAGAATCCTCAACTCCAGAAACATGGGCTCCAGAACTCTGGGTCACAGCACTGCAGACGCCTAGGACATAAGACAGAAAATGTGAGTGGTTTTTGCCAAGAATAAAGGAGAAAACCCTAGAACCCATCTTCTTCATGAAATCCATCCTATGTGCTCTCCTTGAGTCTTGGAAGGCAGGACGGTGCCATGAACCTGAGGCGAGGCTGGAATCCCTCCTGGTCCCCGGGGAGCATCCCTTGAACAGGTCACGTGAACTTGCTCCCCTGCACTGTCCTGAGCCCTAACAGCGAGAGCATGAATGTCAGGAGATCTGGGATCCGAAGCACGAGCACATTTTCCGTCCACACCGAGTGCATCTCTGCAGGAGGCAGTTTCTCACAGGGCTACAGAGACCCCTCCTGCCCATAGGCCGTGCAAGCTCTGTCCCTGGACTGGGGGCCGCCCCCAGGGACTCGCCTCTAAGGAGCCGTGTGCCTCCAACATGATGGAATGCCCTCAGGGACAGCAGGTCCTACAAGGGTGTGACAGGGTCTTGCGCTCACTCTGTCTCCTGCTCGCTCTGATGAAGCCCGCCGCCGTGTTGTGGGCAGCCCCGTGGAAAGACCCCCATGAGGAGGGACGGAGGGCAGCCTCGGCCAACAGCCAGGGAGGGGTGAGGCCTCCGTCCAGCAGACACAGGAAGACTACCCGCGGGAGCCTGGACGCACATCTCCCGGGTGACCCTTGAGCTCCCTGCAGCCCCAGCCAGACCTTAGTGTCCGTCCCAGACACCCCGGGCCTGAGACCCAGCCAAGCCCCCCTGGGTCCT